CAGGTAGACTGCAGTGCTCTGTTTGGTACAACTATAGCTGTAACTCCAGCCAGTGTATCTCCTCCTGAATCTGAACCAATGAGTCCTGACCAAATCTCCAAATTCACTCACTAAGTTCCATCCCGGGGGGGCAGGTTTTTTCAGAGCAGCAATTCATCTTTCTGGGCCAGCACTTGTGGGTTCCCTCCTTCCAGAAGTTGATATCTGTGGCTCAGTTGGCTTCCAGCAATAGTCTCCCTATGTTATTAGCAGCTCCAGTGACAGTGCACTGTATCAAAACCTTGACCTCTGTCACTCTACAAAAGCATTCCTTGGTGCTTGGAGAAGCTCTCATCCACATGCTGAGTTGTGGTCAGAGTTTCAGCCAAGTTTCCCAAATTTCTGTTTGGCTAACTGTGAAGGTTACAGAGAATGCAAAGGGTTCTCTGCCACTGTGTGCAGTTTAATATCTCAAGTTTGGAAAGTTATTTTTTAAAGGCCCCATAAATATTTCTGATTTTATGTCCAGAGCCAACTTCAAATGGCTCTTGAATCCATTTGCTCAGCCTCATGGCAGACTGTCATGCTCTTATTCCCATCATAGAACCAAGGGGGCGGTGGCTGTCAGGCTCCCAGGGTGAGGAAAGGAACAGGAAGCTGCTTCTGAGATTGCCTGTAGGGGACAGAACTGTCCTGGGAGACCTAAAGAGCTGTGCCAGTGCCTGGTGTGTTACTCAGCTTTCTGCTACTATAATAAATACTTGAGCTAATGAACTTAATAAATGAACTTAAAAAGAGGAAGAGTCTCTTTTAGCTCAGTTTTGGAGGTTTCAGTCCATGAAGCAGTTTATCATGGTGAGGGACACACTGGAGCAAAGCTACTCACCTCACAGCTGGATGCAAAAGAGAAAGGAAGAGGAAAGCACTGGGTCCAAAACATTCCCTTTAAAGTCATTCTCAATGCTCTAACTGCTTCCCGCAAGGCCCTACTTCTGAAAGGCTCCACCTCCTCCCGATTGCACCAAGTTAGAACCATCAACACATGGGCCTTGGGGGGACACTTATCCAAAACCATAGCCACTGAATGCTCCTTGTGTCCTCAGAAGCTAATTGGTGGCTCAGCTCTGCCCTATCTTCTGCCCCCTCGGCTGGGTAGATAACTCTACTGCGCTTCTGTTCTCAGTGGATTGTCCTAATTCCAATTATAACAATACTTGTACTTTTATTTGTATTACTCTAGCTGGGGAAGGAAACACTCCGGTATGATAATTTAAAAAAACAGACAGAAAAAACTGGAGTAAACTAATATTGGTAGAATTCTTTACATTTTATAAGGGCTGAGGATTGTATGGCAGACTGACTTCTAATTTTCTCCATCTCTGGGCAGAGAACAGGCCTCCACCTTTTATTCCTTAAATTTTTGTTCCTCTAAGAGTTATCGCTCCAGAAAAATGCTTTGATCAAGTTAATTACACCCATAATAGTATTAAAACACTCTGAAAAACAGTGTCAGTGTTTTGGGGATTATGTAGGTGTCCTTCAGTCACGAGGATTCTTAGATTCTTTCTATTTCTCAGAGTCCTAGAACTTTAGTCTCCAAGAGCTTCTGACAAAAGGAAACAGAAACTATAGTTCATTCCCTGTAGTGCTGTCATAGACTGAATATTTGTGTCCCTCAAATTCATGTGCTGAAGCTCTAAGCCCAGTATGGCTATATATGGGACAGCTAAGGAGGTAACCTAGGTTAAATGGAGTCATTAAAGTGGGTCTCTGATTTGCTATGATTAGTGTCTTTATAAGAAAAATGACCAGAGAGCCCACCAGTCACCTAGGAAAGGCCATGTCAGGATGCACTGAGAAGGAGGACAAGGACATCTACAAGCTAGGGAGAAAGCCCTCACCAGAAACTAAATTTGCTAGCACCTTGATCATGGACTTCTAGCTTCCAAAACATAAGATAATAAATTGATACTGTTAAAGCCACACAGCCTGTGGTATTTTGTTATAGCAGCCTGAGAAGACTATGATGACAAGTACCTATAAAGCTTCATAGGACCTTAAGCTGCTGGGGAGTATGTGTCCTAAAGGGTCCATGGGTAGAACTGTGTTTCAACAAAATTATTTCCAGTGTAATCCTATGGAATTCATGCATGTGAAAACATTGTTCTTAGTCGGGTTTCAAATGAACTAAATAAAAAGAGAGAGAGAGAGAGAGAGAGAGAGAGAGAGAGAGAGAGAGAGAGAGAGAGAGAGAGAGAGAGAGAGAGAGAGAGAGAGAGAGAGAGAGAGAGAGAAAGAAAGAAGAAAAGAAAGAAAGAAAAAAGAAAGAAAGAAAGAAAGAAAGAAAAGAAAGAAAGAAAGGAAGAAAGAGATTTAGAACCTCTTTACCTCTGTCTGGTAGGCATCAGCATGGTGTCAGGACGAGATGATTCTCACTTGTTTTAAATTATAAATTTTACTGGGGCCTAACATAATTCAAGTCTACAACCTTTAATTATATTAAAATCTATAGACTGATACAGATATAGATGGGGTAAAACATTATATAGAGTTTTCTAAAATATTTAATTCTAACAGACGTTTTTGTCGTGAGCCACTAAATACCATAACATAAGCATATGCATAGGTATCATATGTTTAGTTGCCATATGCGTGTACCATATGTGTCACATGAAGTGTACCACATAAGTATTACAAATGACAGCAATTGTTGTAACTGAAGTTCAATACAGAAATTAAAATATTATTAGTAATGTCTTCAAGCTCAATTGTCAGAGTCCCTCCAGGAAAACAGAGATGCTGGGGTCTGAAATGGAAACAATTTGCTGACTATCCTTAGAGAAGGCTAGTGAGTTAAGCTCATGGGTTAGTGGAGTCAGAAAAATCAATGAGCTATTTCTCCTACGTTAGGTCCTAGCTACTGTGAAGTATGAAATCATCTCTAGTTTGCCTAAAATACTCAACACAAAGTAAATGCTGTGCTTATGATGGATACAATGTTTTCCCCAAATATTTTTAGTCTACCATTGGTTGAATTCATAGATGTGGAGCCCATAGATATGGAGGGTTAACAGTTGTTAGATAATAGGTCAGGCTGTCTGTTCCAGATGTCCTACTGAGTTCACTCTTCTAGTTACCATCTCCAAGCTTTTAGCTTGGAGAAAACTGCTATAAGATGGTCCAAAAGTAGATAAAAAAGCTAAATTAACATTTGTCAAATTCTTTACATTTTATAAAGTACTTGAACACACATTCTCCAAGGCTGTTTAATAGCTGCATGTATGTAGTACACATTGTACAAATATTTCTATAACTAAAAGAAGATTTAGAATTAGTTTCTTTAAAATATATTACCAAATAACAAGTGGTTTTAGTATTCATTTTATTAAGTACATTGTTTGGCAAATGTTTATTTGTGGTTTATTTCATATAATACTATAAATGACATTTAACTGAATACACTAAAATTTGTGTTAATGGTTATACAACGTGCAGAGAGGAGGAACGTCTAGTTGAGCTAGATGTACAGAGGGATGGGCGCTGTCAGACATGGGTTGAAAGTGAAATCTTTAAGGCATTTCTTTCTTAGTAGGTAGGTGCACATAGAGTTGAGCAGCAAGGACTGTTCCTGGAAGACATTCCCAAACACTTGTGCTTTTTGCACCGAGACCACAAGTCTTGAAAGCAGCAGAGAGGAGATATGTGTAAAGAGACCAAGTCATGTGCTTTATTATAAAAAGTCATCCAGAGCATAGAATGCAGAGTGGGAGTGTGAGGTAGACGGGGAAGCTGGGTCCAACGTGAGAAAATTTAAACGCCAGGGTCTGGAATTTGTCCAGTTGATAGTGGGGAACCTCGTAAGTGAATGATTATTTCATTTTCTTTTAATTTAAAAATTAAAAAGATTAAGTCAAAACGTTTCTTTGGAATTCTATGATACAGAGAGGAAGACTTTACTTTCTGTGTTCACTTTTGTATCCCCAGCACACAGAGTGCTAGGCTCACTGTGAGTTCAATTTATCTGAAGAGAAGTGGGGAGCCCAGCCAAACTTGCAGGCACATTGATGGTTTAGGTTAGGATGTCAGAGTGAAATTGAACAAATAAGCTTGAGGGGCTTGTTCTTTGTAGGTTATTTGTAGATTAAGTGTAGGATTATTTTAAGTGTTGTAGGTATCTGTAAGTATAAATATTCCTATTATTTGACCCCATATCTATTTATGGGGCTCTATCCTAAAGTATTAATCTTAAGTGAGAAGAAGTTTTGTGCATAAAGATACTTCTACAGTCTTTATTTTAATAGAGAAAAATGGGAACAGTCTAATGACTGAGAAACAAGCTATTGCACACATTTTATCTGAGCAGTATTTAATATACTGTCTTTAAAATTATGAGGATGGGGGCGTGGTAGGCCCTGGGTTTGATCCCTACCACGGCAATAATGCAAGCAAGCACTTACATTAAGTTTGAAAAAGAAGCAAAATTGAACATAGAGTATGGTTATAAATTATGGGGAGGGAGTGGGTGGAGAAATCTCTCAAAGTGTTTTTTCTGGGAGTGGTAAAACACTTTTTCTTTCTATTGTCTTCATGATTATTTCATTCACTCAGCAACTATTTGTTGAACGTCCATTAGCAGCCAGTTGCTGCTAATCATATGCAAATCCTGTCTGCTGGAATTTACATTTTAATTGGAGGAGGTAGAAATGTCACAAGATAAATCAAACGTTGTATGAGCTGATTAGGGCTTGGCAAAAAATAAAGCAAGGAAAGGAATAATATTGATATTGCATGTAACTACCCATTCAGGTAAGAACCTGCAAGTGACAGCCTGGATGCGCCAGTCCTGCAGGCGCCGCTGCAGCGGGGACCGCGGGCGGGCGGGCGGGCGGGTTTAGGTTGGGAGCGCGCGGACAAGGTGAACCAGATCACGTGACTCGAGGGGCGGGGGAAGGAGAGGCGCGTTTGGCCGGGCACCTTCCTTACAGTCAGGCGGGCGGGGCCGAAAACCAAATAAACGTCTTCGGAGCGACTGGGGGCGGGGCAGGCGGGTGCGGACTTAAGTGTCTGCAGCTGGTGCCTTCCGCCGAGTTGACTTTTCGGTTGTTGATCCGCGGTGGCCGGGTGGTGTGCGGTCGGGCGAGACGCGCGGTGCAATGGCGACCTTTGTGAGCGAGCTGGAGGCGGCCAAGAAGAACTTGAGCGAGGCCCTGGGGGACAACGTGAAACAGTAAGAGCCGGCGGGGCTCAGCCTGCAGGCATGAACATGGGAGTTCTCCTGGACGTGGGCTGCCACCGTGCGCCGGAGACTCTCCCCACCGCCCCGAGGCCTGTGGAGCCTCGCGTCCACCGCGACCGGCGTCTCTGGGCTCGGGAGCCGGGCCGGGAGGGGCGGCCACCGGGACTCCCGGCATCCGAGGGCTGGGCCTCCCGGGGCGCCCCGGGGACCCTTCGAGCCCGGGTGGAGCGGGAGGAGCGCACTTGATGCCACGGGCCCGCCGAGGCGGGGCGCGGACGCGTGGGGCGGCCGGGCCCAGAGGGCTTCCTGGAGGTGGTGGAGAGCGTGCTGCTGGTAGCGCTTTGACAGCAGCTTCGGAGCGGACAGACCTAGGGAGGGGACACAAGTCACCCAGCACCGCTGCAGTTAGTGGTGGTCGCAGCAGTGGGCATTTGCACACCTTTTTAAAGGCTCTCGGTGTATTGGGGGCGAGGTAGGTCGCTTATTATTCCCATTTAGTAGACAGGGACACTGAGGCCTCGCGGGGTAAGCTACCTACCTGCCAGCACTGGGACCCACGCCTTCCCTCCCCGTCCGACTCCCGAAGTGCTCAGACCATCACCCAGGAGGCCGGGCACACAGTGGGTTACATCCACACCCAACCCAAGCAATGTTGCAGGGGTTGTTGCTTTGTTTTATTTTTTTTTGCGGTACTGGGATTTGAACTCAGGGCCTCACGCTTGCTAAGCAGGCGCCCTTATCACTTGAACCACTCCGCCAACCCAGGAGTTGCAAGTTTAAAAAATTATTTTAATAGGTAAAATTGAAAGATTTCACCCTCATTAATTACTATAGCTTTTTGCTTTGTAACACTACTCGATAAAATTTGCATTTTTTTCAATCTCAGTTTTCATTTTCAGAAGTACAGGGAACTCATCTTGAACGTTTAAAAATTATAGTGCTGGACTGGAGGAGTGGCTCAATTGGTAGAGCGCCTGCTTTATGAACCTGAAGCCCTGAGTTCAAACTCCAGTCCCCCCCCCAAAAAATACAAAAAATTATAGTGTCATTGTGGTTGCCGCCGGGTGACTGTGTGCTACCTATTGCTTTGCTTAGTAGATGCTTGCTTTTTAGTAAAAGTAGAGGAAGGAGCAGGGATTTGGTGATAATTTTTTTCGGTAAACATTTGGTGACTTTCAAAGGTTCAGTGTTCTACCTAAAGTTATATTTAATATCCATCTTCACTGTCATTCTGTTCTTTGCTTATTTTAATTAGAAATTCTTAGATTTAATAGGTAAAATTGACAGCTTTTACCCTCATTAATTACTCCATCTGTAAGGAAGGTGCCTGGCCAAACGCGACTCCCCATCTAGCACTGGAAAGCAAAGGGTTTTATACTATAACAAATCTGACATAGATTGTGTTTTTTATTGACTTTAAAACCGGATTAAATGCTAAGATATCCTCTTCCCCCATCACCATCATGAGTTCACAGCTGCCAGAAACATTTTGAAGTTTACTTTCCTTTTTTGGGGGGGCAGGGCACTACTGGGGGTTGAACTCAAGACTTCTTGTTTGCTAAGCAGGCACTGTACTGCTTTAAGCCACTCCCTCGGCCTTTTTTCTTTTAGGAGGCACTTGGGTTTCAACTCAGGGCCTCAGGCTTGCTAGGCAGGTGCTCCTACCTCTTGAGCCACTTTTGTCAGCCCTTTTTTTGTGATAGGTCCTTTCAAGATAGGGTCTGTTTGCCTGGGGCTGGCTTCAAACCACAATCCTCTGAATCTCTGCCTCCTGAGTAGCTAGGATTACAGGCGTGAGCCACCAGTGCCCAGCTCTCCCTCAACTTTTTTTGTGTTGGTTATTTTTGAGATAGGGTCTCCCTTTATCCTTGGGCCATCCTGAACAGCTGCCCTCCTATTTGTGGTTCCCTAACAGCTGGGATGACAGGAGAGCACCACCATACCCAGCCAACTATTGGTTGAGATGGGGGAGTCTGTCAAACTTTTTGTCCAGCCTGGCCTCTAACCTTGATCCTCCTGATCTCTGCTTCTGGGATAGGTAGGATTACAGGCTTGAGCCACTGTGCCCAGCTGAGAGTAGTCTTTTAGAATGGTAGCAGTGAAAAGGAAAGGTACAGCTGTGGGTTTTAGCTGAGTAAATCATGAATCCAATTCTGTTCTTTACTGATATTCTTATTCCTAGGTGTATTAGATTGATAGGCCTGCTGTGACAGAATAGCACAGAAATTTATTTTTTCAGAGTTCTTGGGGCAGTAAGACCAAGATCAAGATGGTGGAGGGTTTGGTGAGGCCTCTCTCCTACAGATGTCAACTTCTTGCTGTGTGTTCATGTGGTTACTTTCTGCACCTGTCTGGTGTCTCTCTGTGCCCTCCTCTTACAAGGACACTAGCTGTATTGGATTAGGGCCCACCCTAATGGCCTCATTTTAATTTAGTAATCCCTTTAAAGGCTGTATCTCCAAATAGTCACATTCTAAGATACTGGGGTTAGGCTTCCACATGTGAATTTGTGGGGAGGGGTGGTGCGTAGTTCAGCCAGTGACACTAGGGAATGCAAAATTTGCTTCCTTGGGAGTTGAACAGCTAAGGTACTTGGGGAGGAAGTTAAATCTATGGTTCTGAATGTTTTTTTCTGCTTCTGCAGATACTGGGCTAACTTGAAGTTGTGGTTCAAGCAGAAGATCAGCAAAGAAGAGTTTGACCTTGAAGCTCATAGACTTCTCACACAGGATAACGGTAAAGTAATTGTCTGGGGAATAAATTAGGCTTTTTGCTTTTTGAAAAAATTTTGGTTTAAATGGTATGAAAGGTAATCTTAATGTGGATATTTAGAATTAAGTGTAAGGAATGGCAGAGTACGGGACATTCCAAATCTTACAAGCTAGACTAAAGTAATAGTTTTCTTATGTTGGAAAGATTTTTATTTGACTTGTGGAAACCTTCCCTTTTGCAGTCCATTCTCACAACGATTTCCTCCTGGCCATTCTCACACGTTGTCAGATTTTGGTGTCTACACCAGGTAAGGGGTGGAAATGCTTCCAGTGTGTCACTTGGCAGAGCCATGGAACACTTTGCTTTAGTTTTCTGTTATAGACACAGCTGGGGTTTGCAAATGGAATGTCTTTTGAAATGCACACAAGAGCAGTTTATTTTGCAGGTGTAAATTGTCTTACAGAACCTTCTTAAAGCAAGTGATTTCCCTGTATGTACATTAACTTTTGGTCATTAGTTCTCACTCAGCTACATTTTAGATTACTGAAATAAGTGAAAAGTGAGGAAGGGAGTTGGGAGGTAAGGATTCAAAGTGAAGGGAATAAGGAAACGGTATGTTTATTAGGAAAATGTGTTCAGTAGGTTTAGGGGAGATGAATTGTGTGGTGGAGAAGCCATGATGTGTGTTGGAAACCTGGACTTTCACATGTGTTCTAAGCAGGATAGCACCTGGAAGGTTCTAGCCTTAATATATGTGTTTGGCAAATCATGGTGGGGAGGTTGCCACAAAGCTATAGATAGACTGACTCCTTAACTTTTTGGAGCTTAAGTGAAAGGTGGTAGATTAAATTACAGTATACCTCTTCTAACCATCTTATTTATTTTTTATTTGCAATACTGGAGTTTTCTTATTTTAACCAGGGAAAAACAAATAAATACATGGAAAACTCATGATAAGAGTTTGTCTTATACTTTATTAAAAACTTAAATTCATAGGTACCTCCTGCCTGTGTAGATTAAGCTGTTTTTTTTTTTTTTAATGCCTAGGGTGATTTTGATTATCTTGAATCAAAAAATAACCAAGACATGGCTGGTGTTTTTATTATCCATCCTTATAGTTGTATCTTACCTCTATTATCTGATAAGGAATTCATGTAAGATCTCCTAAAACTTAATTCCTCCATGCTCAAAGAACTTGTGAGGTGTTGTGGATAGAGGGTGTTTACAAGATGCTGGTGTTAGCGAGTAGTGGCTGCTGTCTTCCCCTTCACCATACTGTCACTGCACAGTCTCAGATTGTGTCAGGATTCTAATGGTCTACTTAAATAGAAGTGGACTTTAGCCATATTTCTTTTATGCCCAATTAAATAAAAACTTTCACTATTCTTAAATGAGTGTTACTGATTATTTAAAAGTAAGTGAAGAAACTTGCCATTTGGAAGCTAATGATTATTTCTCTATTGAACATTTAATGTTTATTTCCTCAAAAAGAAATTAATATTTGGTAGCAATGGAGATATGATTTCTCGTAAAAGTAAAATTGCTTTGTACTTAACAATTGTATGTGGGTAGTTTTCTATTTTTCTAAGCAAGGCAGGACAGGTGATTTCAGTAATTGTAGTGAGTGTAGCATGCTAGACACCTTACATGCATTATCTTTAGTCCTCACCACAACTCTACAGGGTAGTGTTAACCTCTTTTATAGATAAGGAAACATACTTCAGAGAAGAGAAAACAAGACAAAAACCCCCAAACTTGTCTGAGGCCCTGCCAAGCTAATGTTAGTGTTGGCTCAAAAGCGAAGTCCAACTGCTGTGAAAAAGCCTTCCCTTGTATCAGGGTGACCCTTCTGTATTTTGTGTCCTCATTCAGTATTTGTCCACACAGCAGCAGCTGGTAAACTGAGTTTGCAGCCTGCTGCTTCCTCTTGTCCTCCATGTTCATCTCATTCTCCTAACATGTAAGGTCTAGTCTCATTAGTCAGGATCAGATTTCTTCGGGAGATGATCTGATTGGCTGAGCTTACCAAGTGACATCTGAGTGTGCCAAAGTGATGGAGAGGAGGGACTTGATTTCCCAAATGGCCTTCTTCTACCTCTCTTCTTTTTTCTTTTTTAAAGCTTAAGGAACTTTCCAAAAAACATCAGAATGGCAATAACCTTTTACTAGAATTATGGATGATTTTTTTTCTTTTTAAAAATTTTTTTGGGGGCATAGTTTTTCCAAGTGTACTGTAGGGAGCTTGTATTACTTTGGGTTTTTTTTTTTTTTTTTTTACAATAAATACTATATGTTCAGTTTTAAAAATTCAGCACCACAAGTTTAATGATAAAAGCTGCTTTCTACTAAAAGTAGACCTATTCTCAAGACAACTATTTTTGATTTTTCATCAGTGAGTCATAGCCCCTTACAGTTTGTCTCAGACCTCTGTCTTCTTGCCTTATTGCTTTATGTTTTTTGAGATTTCTGCAGCTTTTAGTCTTTTAGCTTTTTTTTTTTTTTTTTTTTTTGTGAGACTGGGGTTTGAACTCAGGACCTAGCACTTGCTAGGAAAGTGTTCCACCACTTGAGCCTAGACCCCAGTTTTTTTTTTTTTGCTTTAGTTTATTTTTTAAGTAGAGTTTACTAACTTTGCCCAGGCTGGCCTGGACCACGATCCTCCTGCTTCCCGCTCTTGAGTAGATGTGATTATAGGTATAATCCAACAATACCCATCCTTGTTTAATACATTCTTTATTCAGCAATTTTTATAGCATTCTTCTTTATGGATATTTGTCTTCTCAAACTTTTCTGAAGACTTCTCAAAGAAAAGTCTTTTTTCACTTTCTCTGTGGGACATCTGTTACTTGTTCAGTTAGCTGACATACACATATATAAATTTGTTTTATATATACAATGAATTTGTTTTCTCAAGAAATAATTTTGGTTACAGCTAGGAAAAAAAAAGAGATTTGAGAGAATATATAATTTTCTTTAGAGGTAGAAAGAGAACCACATTTGAATATTCATTTTTTTATTTTCCTTACTTGAGCATCCCATGCTTTTTAGCACAAATGAAAACAAACAGCAATTGTCAGTTGTCATTATTTTCACTTACTGTTACTGTTTTTCTATTTTATAGAGTGTGCTGGATCTCTGCCCTGGACAGGGGGTTCTGCGGCCAAACCTGGGAAACCCAAGGGCAAGAAAAAACTTGCTTCAGTTCGTCAGAAATTTGATGTAAGTTGTTCCCCAAAAGATCTTGGTAGCCAATGATTTAAGTACTTGTGTGATTTAAGTTTTAAATGAAGATTAAAATACTGGTAGTAGAGTTGAAAAAAAGCATATGATTTAGAGCAAAAAAGGTCTCAAAATTGTGAGTCTGAATGTTTACAATTCTTGTTAATTTCTTAAGTACTAGTATGTTATCATTAGAACCTAAGATTTTTCAGTGATTCAAAGCTGTGCCTGAGTTCTTTTCTCTTCAACATTTTTTCGATGGATTTGTAATATCTGTCAGATCGCAGGCATCTATTCCAAGGGTTGTAGGCCTCTGCCATGCTCTGGTGACGCTTAGTGGGGTCTGAGCCTTTAGGATCAGTACAGAGATCATGGAGCACTGGCTATAAAAATTTTAAACATTTTAGGATAACGTGTTTTCCAAATTATATCTAGGCAAGGAAGTTTTCTGAAAACATCCCTTTTTTAGATTTTACTGGGTATTGATAGTTTTATTGATTGGCATCAACGTACATTTATTTCCTTCCACCTGGTTTATGTTTTATGTCAGTAACAATGTTCATTCTGGAAGGCCTCTACTTCCAGAGAGGCATACCTGCTTTAGAAAGGTGTGTTCTATATAAAATACAGTTTTATACCTGGAAAATGGAAAAATAACAATACTGTATTTATAATATACATTTCAAACAGGGACCCACTATGTTCACTACAAAACCTTTTGTGCTGGGCTTAACCCAAAGCTACCAGTAGTATATCTTCCATATGAGTGGTCTGTCAGGATTTTCAGAGGAAGGCTGAGATTTTATCATGAGAAAAGGTTGAGAAAAAACTGCTAATTAGTGTGGCTGTTTGTTAGATAGGTTCTTTGTTGAGAATTTTAAGTAGAAATAACAGCAATTAAATAGTTAGCATAGTCTTACAGTATTGTCTTGGAATATTTGTTGTTACAGCTATCATATTGTATTGGTTAACTAGGCTTTTTACGGTTTAACTGAAGCACTCATTACATATTTATACTTTTAGAACCTACTCATTTCCAGTTAAACTTTATTACTTTTTGACTATAGTTTTTTATCTTTTCCTTCTGTTATTTTTTAGTACAGGGTCACACATCTTGTGATCATTAAGGTATTAGTTAATAGAATAAATTGCTATAAAATGCTTACAAATGTGTGATTATGCTTGAATTACCTTAAAAAAAATTTTTTTTTACCCCTACGGTATAGTTTTGGTGGCATTAATTTGTAGGATCTCAAATTTAATTGACTAAGTTTGAAGTTTTCTTATTCATAGCATAGATTCCAGCCTCAGAACCCCCTTTCTGGAGCTCAGCAATTTGTGGCAAAGGATCCCCAAGATGATGACGACTTGAAACTTTGTTCCCACACAATGATGCTTCCCACTCGGGGACAGCTTGAAGGGAGGATGATCGTGACTGCCTATGAGCATGGGCTGGACAACGTCACTGAGGAGGCTGTCTCAGCTGTTGTCTATGCAGTAGAGGTTGGTTCACCGTTTGCAGCAATACCTTCACAGATTGAATGAGATGAGCTTGTATGTGTTGTTTAAAATTGATATTGCCAGAAAAGAACCAAAATACCACTCTGGTTTGATAGAACTGTAATTCTTGAAGTTACTTTCTTTTGAGGAAGAAATACAATCCAAAGAATTGCTTTCAGTTAAAACTAAGCTTTTTCAGTAAGGTTGCTTAGGGCATAGCACTTCTGTTTAATTTAATGTTTAATTTGTCAATAAAGGAACAATTTTTAAGGAAAGAAATGAGATAGGGAATCCTTATGATTGAAGTCACATGTTTCTGCTGTGGTATAGCATTTAAAGAACGTTAGTCTTGATGTCTTGAACAGTGGGATTTTTGTCCCAGCACATTTTTATTCATCCATTCATTTAGTCTGTTACCAGACAGTACTGGGTAATTCTTTGCAATTCTCTGGTCCTCATTTTCCTCATCTATATGTTAAAGATAATAATAGCTGGTCTCACAAAGTTGCAAATATTAAATAAATTCTACATGAAAAGCCATAGTAAGGCTGCAGACATGGCTCAAGGAGCAGAATGCCTGCCTAGCAAGTGCAAAGCCCTGAGTTCAAACCCCAGTACTGCCAAAAAGACAAAAACAAAACAGAACAAAACAAAACCCATTGCTCAAGGATGTCTTGATAGAAGATGAACTTATTATACAATTGAAGCACCCTACATATCCTGGCTTCCCTGTTAATAGTGTTAATTATGGGACTAGTATCTATTTTCACAGACATTCCTCAATCTTGTCTTACTTGTTGCGCATAAAAGTGAAGAGAAATTAAATACTTACTTCTGTGTGTGTTATTTTGTATGGTGTTTATGTGGCTTTTGAGCCAGCAAAGGTTCTTTTCATGAAAGAATTTTGATAAACAATAAGTAAACAGATCTTGCAACTTTTTGTCCCATTTTAAACCAAATTTCAAGGTAGTTTGCCTCTTTTAAAAAATAAGCTCTCTAAAAATCATTTTTGAAACAGAAGAGCCAATTTAAAGATGTACACTTAAAAACAAAAACAAAATTTGTGTACAGAGCCCATTTTTAAAGAGAACCAAATAAAAATAAGCATGCTCTTTCTTTCCCATGCCTCCTCTGGAATGGCTCTTTGCTCCTTCATGTTTTAACCTGTGCTGGCCTGCCCCACATCTCCATCCAAATGCCATAAGCATTTTTGGTCATTGGAACTCTGACGGTTTGCTTTTAAGAAGATCATACAATATTTTTTTTTGGCTTTACAGAATCACCTTAAAGATATTCTGACTTCAGTTGTGTCAAGAAGGAAAGCTTATCGATTACGAGATGGCCATTTTAAATATGCCTTCGGTAGTAATGTGACCCCACAGCCTTACCTGAAGAATAGTGTGGTGGCTTACAACAACTTCATAGAAAGGTAAATGGTTTTTGTGATTTTGCTTCCATCTTTTGCTAGTTGGTTACACTGCTCTTACTACTAAACCATGGTTAAACAATCGATCATCATGATCGATTAGAAGTACTGAAGTGCTTCTGACAGTAATACAGTTTTATTTTCTTAGGTCATATTCTTGCAGGCTATCTAGTGAATTGTTTTGGTGTGCTTTTTAAGTTCCATGTGGGTTTAATGTGACACTCCCCCCTCCTGCCGCCCCCCAGCCATTTTCTGATGTGGAAGAGTAACCCTTGGTCAGTGAGTCCTGTTGGCAGCATCTGCCTGGTGAGGAGTGGGTCTGCTCTCAGCCAGAGGTCTGGCCTGGCATTGTTGGGTCAAGTCTGGGTTTCCTGGTGGTGGGAGGAGGAGAAGTGAGGAGTTTCTCTAGGTCCTCATCTGATTGTTGTAGCTGTTGGTTAAGGTAGTGGCTTGCATTGGTGTCTCCTGATTGCTCTTGGCATCCTGTTTGCTGCTCTTGTTTCTCAGCTTATTTCTGGGATTCCTATGTCCTCATTCCACTGAGGGCTTCCAAGGCCTCTCTTATATGTCCTAAGTTACCCCTTTCTGAGATTAGTAGATTACACTCATATATGTGTTTTTCTTGTTCTTCTACCTCCCTTTGTCCCTCATATCCCCTACCTCCAAATTTAGTCTGAATCTTAAGCCTTTGGGAATAAAAGATAATAATATAATTGTTCTTGTTACTGAAGTGACTGAATTTCCTGAGTGTTGGACTTTGTGTATCTGGTTATTTGGCTAGTTAGGGAGAAAGGAGGTAAAGAGGTGACAGGGAGATACAAGTTCAGAGAAAAGTTAATTAAGACTGGGAGGGCTGGCAAAAGTGATGGTGGTAAAGAAATAACAGAAAAGGAAGGCAGGTGGGGACTGGGAAAACTAAGAGGGTTGGACAGAGCGAACAGTGCTGACAGAACATGGAAGAGGTTGTGCCAGTGCCAGTTTCAAGACTGTGGAGATCTTTACAGGGGTCACAAGGCCCATTTCCATAGTATCATTTTATATTGGGCTCCCTGTTAGATTGCTTTCTGTGGTCATTGATTTCTAAATCTCATTCGGGCGTAGCTATTTGGAATTGTTTTCATGTCCTTCCTCTAGAGAAAAATAAAAAAAGTGGCTCCTTGTAGTAGGGGATGTCAGGAGGCAGTGTTGCTGGCCTGGCTGTGCTTTGGAGCCCTCTCTCCCCTGCTGGCCAGTCCCTGAGGGCTTTTACCTCCATTGGCTGCCTGTTACTCTAACAGGGTTGCTTTTGTCTATCTGCTGCCTCATTATTTGTTTTACCTCCCTGTATGTTCTTGGAAACTGTATAGGCTATCTCAACTGCACTAGAAAAACCATCTGACTTCTCAGCTGGTGTTCTTTTTGGGCTCTGTTTTGGGGAAGTACCAAGGTCTGGGTTAATTTTCCCTACCCTCCATTTTGCCTATTACTCCTGCTGTGTCTTCCTTTCTTGATGTTTATTTTTGAATTTGTTATCCTCCAGTATTGTTTGGTTCCCTCTCCAAGCCATTTGTTTTTAGTTTCTAATTCCTTTAGTTAAGGTCTGTATTTTTTTTCAACTGATGCTGTAAGAGCTGGAAACCAGTTTTGGTTCAGTATCCTATCTGACATGGGGAAGAAAGGGTAAGTATAGTTGCATTATACTTTTTTCTAGCCTAACAGCCTTAAAATTAAAATTATATCCTATCTGACATGGGGAAGAAGGGGTAAGTATAGTTGCATTACACTTTTTTCCAGCCTTAAAATTAAAATTATATCCTATCTGTGTATACACTGATTAGACTTCTAATTCATTTAAAGATTCTATAAATGAGATGTATTCTAGCAGGCCAACCTATTCTACCTGCTCAGTTGTCTCCATTGTAGATGCTGGGAAAATTTCTGGAATTTTTTTTTCAGCCCTCCAGCCTTCTCTGCTCCTTGTGCCGGTCAGAATCCAGCTTCTCACCCACCCTCTGACGACGCTGAGCAGCAGGCTGCTCTCCTGCTGGCATGCTCAGGGGACACCCTACCTGCATCTTTGCCTCCAGTGAACATGTATGATCTTTTTGAAGCTTTGCAGGTAAACTATGTCCTTAACATTTTCCTGGATTTATGGGTAGGTCAAAGATTCTTCATGTCTGCAGAGATGTTTTTCACTGTTTTTTTTTTTTTTTTTTTTTTTCTTTTGGTGGGAGGACTGGGGTTTGAACTCAGGGGTTGGCACTTGGAAATCAGGCATTCTACCTACCACTTGAGTCATACCTCCAGTCCATTTTCCTCTGGTTAATTTGGAGATGGGGTCTCGTGAGCTATTCGAGCCACATTCCCAGCTTGCTTTTGTTATTTTTGAATAGGGTCTTGGGTTTTTTTTTTTTTTTGCCCATACTGGCCTGGACCTGGATCCTTTTATTTATGTTTCCTACATAGCTGGGATGACACCACATATGTACCACCATGCCAACTTATGATTGAGATGGGGGTCTTGCTAATGATATAAACGATATAAAATCCCTCTGATTTCTCAGCTTGAGACCCAGGCTGGCCTCAAACCATGATCCGGGTCTCCACCTTCTGAGTAGCTGGGATTAAAGGCATGAACCATTATGTCCTACCTGTTTTTCCACTTTGTATTGTTAGTTATTAAAGCCAGTAATACTAGCTTTGTTTTTCAAATCCTGAGAGTTCTTCCTAATTTACCTCTCTCATACTCTACCTCTCCAGTTAAAAGGAAAAGGAAAAACAATTCATTCTTCCTTGCTATTTCAGAATCTTGTTTCCTTGCTGACTTGGGATTCATTAGGTTATTGCTTAAAATTTACAGGTTGTGTGTCTGCATGTGAATGTTTTATTCATAGACATCTTACTTTTGTATGCTATAAAAATAATTTACTGAAGTGTAATTGAAGACATGCTAATTTTTAAATTCCAGGTACATAGGGAAGTCATTCCTACACATACTGTGTATGCCCTTAATATTGAAAGAATCATCATGAAACTCTGGCACCCAAATCATGAAGAGTTACAGCAAGACAAAGTCCACCGACAGCGCTTGGCAGCCAAGGAAGGGCTTTTGCTCTGCTAAATTAGAATTTGAGGGTGTGGAACCATCATGTAATTCATTGATTATTGAAAATTGAATGCTCTTTGGGTCCACATTTCAAGGCTCAAGTGTATAGTGTATATATAACTTTTCCTATGGAAATGTGACATTGAGTACATTTTGTGTTGCTACTGTGAAGCCTTAGTATAAATTTAACTGGTAATGGCGTATATGTCTATATGTGTATGTTCCCAATTCTGGGAACAGGCATTGGTGAAGGAATAAGGATGTTTAGGCATCTGAGGCTTAGTTTGTGTGGTGTGCATGTAAGGTAGATGAGTTAAGGAAGCTGTTATAACTTAGTCCCCATGACTAGCATTTGTTTGTTCAGTGATGTAATACATTCTGTATCTGATAGGTGTACAATTTCTGTCTCTCCTGAAGATCTGTATGCTTGCATATTGGTTGGCATGACCTATACAGTGTTAAAAATTCAGATGCCTCCTGTAGTGATCAGTTAGCAGCTCTAGGTTGTCCCCAATCATCATTTTAACTCCACAGAAATATACCACTTGGAAATGTTGTGTTAGACAAAATAAAGCCCTTTCTTTTCATTTAAAGCCCAAATCATACAACTCTTGGAATACAATTACCCTTGTAAAATGCCTCCTTCTATCTCAAGATTTTTTTTTTTTAGCATGAATATGCCCTAAGACTGACAGGCTTATCTATTATTTCTATAGAATGTGTTTTAAGAAATCTTGCAAAACAAACTGGATTTATAATTCTCCTACTCTTATGAAATATGTTTCTACCCTTCCAAGTGATAACATGGAAATCATTTCACATTTGACAATATTGCTGATGACCAACTTTGTTGTTTTTGAGATGTGTTGTTGTTTACTCAAGTAGTGTTGGTGGATAAATTAGAATGTATAGATGGTCTAAATAATGGATGCGTGTAGAAATGTATATATGGTTCATGTATCTGGATCTGTATTTGATTTTTTATTTTGAATGTAATAAATGTTTTGGGGGAAGCTCTCCTGTTTGTTAAAATAAATGTGTAAGGAATACTACCTCCTTCAGAAATAGGAAAAGCCCTTCTTTATGAGATCTTGGCAGAGACTTTTCAAAAGATAGTAGACGAGAAAGATTAAAAGGGAAGGAGAGGTTTCTGTAAAGTATACCATTTCTTGCTTTTGTGATTAAGACTAAAAGAAAAAAGTCATCAGGAGTTAGTTTCTCTCAGTTATTGGCACAAGCCCTTGAGAGAGGTGGGTGAGATAATACTCAAGGATTTTTAGGGTTTGGAATAATTTAAACTGATGTTCACATGATTATGGTGGTTTTGTTAGTGCTACCCATACAGAGGCAGCCAGAAGCCTCAACCTGTCCTGCTGCCCCTTGCAATGGCAGGTTCATAGGGTCTTTTAGCACAGACGAATCTCCAAGCTGGAAAATTCGTCCATAGTCTAGGGCCTGTCCCAAACTCTGAGTCACCTATTTAGTGGGACACTTTGCTTCATCTGTTTCAGGTCTACACTCTAAAATAAGATCTGTTCTCCATGCCAGTTAAGAAATCATTTTCTGAAGTGGAAAGATGGGGTTGAGGGCAAGGCTATAAGGTAGAAAGTAATAATATCTTCAAGAAAGACTTTGAAAGACTTGAACTGTTTCACCAAAGGCTGGCTCCATCTCTGACACCTTTGCCAGCTGTGGGCTCCTGCATGTAGTCTATTCTATAATTAAAAGATCATGAGTACTTATTATCAAGCATCTAGAAAAATATTTGAATGAGGAAGAGCTGTTAGAAACCAAATAATTTCAGTTGTTCCAGGTTATTGCTCATACATGGTTTTAAGTAATTGTCTGTTAGCTATAGGCCTATCACTGTGCAATCAGGTTTGCTTATGCTTGCTTGCTTTATCAAGCAGACTAAAGACTGGCTTGACACACATTAGCACCCTATCACCCCCTGCTGTGGTTAGCCACCCAACATTGCAACACTTCTCTCCACTGCCTGAAGTCACTGGGATGTCCCCAAGTTTCATAGATTATCTTCTAAATGTCTACTCTTCTTTGACCATAGAAAAATACTTATATGCTACCTCTCAACTCCTACCACAATGCCTCTGGGTCAGGCTTGGAAAGTGCATCATGCATTTAAGCTGATGGTTTATAAAGGAATAATAAAATTTCTAGATTATTCTTGGAGAGTAGACCACTACTTACTTGAGTCAGGTGCATGTTAAACTGTCAAGTTTAATTTTACTGACAGCACATGATAAAGGGATCTATGGGTATGACACTTTCACAGAAATTTCAAAAATAAGATACTAAATTTTCACTCATTTAATTGTGGATTTCCTTCATGTGATTTTTGATAACATTCCTGAGGAAATCTGAAACGATCATTGAGGAAAAGAACTATTTGTGCCAGACCTCCTCCACCTTTAAAAGCCAGTTTAAAATTATGCCTATTTCTCTTCACTTTGTCTTCAGAGACACTAACCTTACTTACTGCACCCCATGAACATCCTATGATTCAAAGGTATTACTGACACCACCCTGGAGAATAAAGTGTAAACAACAGCTTAAATGTAATCTCTGGTAATTAATGCCAGCAAGTAAATAAATAAAACCGCCATTGTCTATTATCTTTCTTATCAAAGTTTATTGTTGGGGTCAGTTCCTATCACCTGGGGAGTATAACCGTGTCTCAGTGTGCTATCGAAGTTCTAGGGTAATAGCTGTTCTCCGCAAACAGTTGTACTGGGGCTCTGTTAGGCATAGACCGTGTTACGTCAGTGGAAGAATGAGCCCAGAAGACCCTGACAGCAGAGCCATCACTCTAGGAAAGTTCCAGTGCTATGTAACCCGTAAGGCATCTCGCTGACAATGAGATTTGAGGTTATGGAATGAAACAGGAGTTGATCCCATTTTCTACTCTTCTCAGCAAGATAACTGGCTCCTGTGTAGGAGCCCCAAGTAGGTCTTGTGGCATCTTTTAAGCTCCCAAAGCAAGACAGGTAAAACATGGAAAAGAAAGGGCCAGGAAGTAGGAACAGTTGAAAGAAGATTAAGTAGAACTGGAGGGAATGGAAACTTATGGAATGGAAACAAACAGGTCCAGATGCCATTTTTGGATGATTAAGAATATAGTACAGGTAAAAAGCAAATAGGGAAACAACTCAACAAAAGTTATTCAGATACTAGAAGTGAAATTTCCCCTCTTGTGTGTGGAACTGGTTTAAAAAGGTGAGAAAGATGACTCACAAGAAAATGAGTACCTGAGTAGAAATAGGTATTTCAGGATGCCAGAAACAGCTTATAAATATTCATGTGAGCTGAGTGTACAGGAAAGAAAAGTGGTTATGGTAGCTAGCCTGTTATCCAGACTTGACACTGGAATGACAATTCTAGCAATGGCTTTGTCTTTGAGGTTCTGGCCTATTTTTTTTGTAGCACAGAGAGCTTTGAAGGAATGTATTCCTAACATTCAACTTATGTGGGAATGCAAATTAATACCATGTAAAAATCAATGGCCTCCCCCCTGTTCTTGCAGGGTAGATTGGTCTTGAAACAGCTGGCTAAAAGGCCCAACCACTCCAACTGCCCTGTGACAAAAATACTAAAGAATACAAGCATGAGATGAGTCAGTGGGCCTTATACCATGTAGACAGCAGACTTAGTGTCTTCTGCAGGCAGCCTGAGAAACAGAAGAGCTCGTGTACTGAGTGCTGTCTTATTAAATATGACAAAAAAATAGGGCCATTAAACAAGACCCTTCAAAAAATCTAGCTGCCACCCAGATAGGGAAAAGAAGTAAAACAGCATCATTTATTTTCACCTATTTCTTCCATGCTAACCTAGCTCATCTATAAAAAAGCTATCTTTTGGCACCAGGCCGGTATGTTTTAATTTTGCTGTTATCATTAGCATCTGATTTTCCCAAAAGAGGAAATATGTAAGTAGCAGGGTGTGTAAGTGACACATTCTACAAAACCTTTTCCATAGGCTTGACCTGTATGGGGACAGATTCTACTTCTGGAAGCATTTTCCAAGGCAGAATAAAACATCTGCTTGAGGTTCTCTCCACAGAAAGGACACCACTAGAGTTGTGCCCACATGACAAGTCTCTTGTTGGTGCTAAACAAATGGTCTCTTCTCCAGGAAATACCTTTCGTTTGTTCATATTTACAGGATTCTTGATGGACAGATGGAGTCATCTCCAAACCAAGAAATGGAGCAGAAAGTTTCTTTTCTAAGCTTGTCTCTGTTGAACTTAAAGGTCCTAGACTTTGCTGACACCTCACAGGGTGGGGCTGTGTCCTGGGATGGATGTGCTGCCATCCAGACCTGGGCTGTTCAGAGCCCCAGTGCTGTTCGTGGTGCTCCCTATGCATCCATGCTTTTCAGGAATAATCTTCTTTAGGACTTTCCCCAGCTGTTTTAATCACAGTTCCATTTGCTGGAAAACAGAGAGAACCTAAGTGTGAATTAACCCTTGGATTTCTGGTCCAACTTTTAACAAAAATAGAATTCCACCAGTCAGATTTCCAAACAGATGACACAGTTTTATGCCCATGTGTCCTCTGAATCTCTCTTTTTTTTGGCAGTACTGGGGACTGCTCAGGGCCTCATGGTTGCAAGGCAGGTGCAAACACTATCATTCAAAGTTTGATATCCAATGGAGGCAGGGTGGTGGTCAGCAGAAAAGGGAGCTGAATTCATGGGGTTTTTCAGAGTGGGGAACATGGGAAGGAAAATGTAGTTTCAGTGACTTAAATCTAATAGTAAGTACTGCTCCTTGCTCTACTGTAATTCTAGGGATCCCAGGATTACAAAGGAAATCAGAGATAGGCATATACCTTGATTTGGGGGCAAGGAAGGAGGTATAACTCACTTTTAAACATACAGATGTGCTTATCCAGTATGGAGTGGGGAAAGAGGGTTTCTATTAGTATTTCACTTGGAGAAAAATCCAAGTAGAGTGAAAACAACTATACTTTAAAAGAAAGGAAAAGTGTCGAGATGACTTCAGGTCCTCTGTCAAAGGGATATCTTCTACACTGCATCTGGAGGCACTTATTAATTGACAGTTAGCGTGTCACCTACTGTCTGTGGCCATTCTGCTTTCAAGGAGCATGAGGGGGGCATTGATGAGAGGTTGTGGGCTCACTTGCTAGTGTTGGCTCTGTTGGGTTCCCAATCCTTGCTTCATTTTAAAGCTGCTCCTCTTCTGCACTAGCCCCTGAAAATTCCAGGTCTCTTGTCCTTGGCCCTTAAACTTGACTCACTGTAGTCCTACATATGCACATTTAATTTTTTTTCTTATGCAAAAATTCATTTAAAAAATTCCTTCAGACATCTGCTGGCTACAGGAACTTATTTTAACTGCCCACTCTACCTAAAGGTCCATATGAGACTTAGGATGATTTTAAAACTTCCGTATTCCCTAGGAGAAAGCAAATAGAGGTTATTATTTTTAGCTTCTTGGTGGGCATAGTATGACCATCCCAGGACAAAGACCTGAGGCCCAAAGGCCACGGTATGAAAGCCTGACTTCGTGCTATTCCTGTGTTATGGTTCTATAGGCCAGCAAAAGCCATTATAACAGCCTCAAGTAAATCAGGCACATATACTGGCCCTAAATGTTCAGCATGATTTATAAGGGAAAGAGAAAAAGTTGTCTTTTCAGGCAATACTTTTTATGAACTGAGCCATGTCAGACTACACTCTTTCAGGTCCAAGCAACATCTTTCATCCTTACAGCTTTCAGATGGAATATTCTAGCAGTTCATTCTTTGTTCATTTTACACAGGATACAAGTGTTCCTGGGTCTAGGCTGCAGAGCACAATATACACAAAGTAAGCCAAGAAGTCAGTCTCCTATAAAGGAGAAAATGCAGATGGCTTGTTACCTATATTAATGTACATTAGACTCTCAGAGAACTTGGAAACAAAAGAAATGGAAAGAGAAAAAGTGTGTGTTGAATACAGACATGTCCATCAGCAAAGGCATCAACTATTTATTCCCAACCAGTTACCTGAACTCTTCCTTCAGTTGCCCTCAGACATGCTTTCAGTATCACATTCTTTTGGTGGCTCTCCTCCTCCGGGCAGCTCACTCTCGATTTCCCACAGGACGTCATCCTCCTCCAAGTTGTTGGAGATGTGACACTTCTTGAATCCTTGGACAATAGATTCACTTGAGATGCTGTTCCATGCAACCATGACCCACTCCAGGAAAAGGCCCAGGGGTGGTTTCTTGGCATTCCCAGTGGGGCTCAGTGCCAGGTTCCCAGCCAGAAGCCAGTTGGAGTACTGGGCTCGCACACTGTCATTCAGTGGCTTGTAGACCACTACGTCCAGCACCTGCAGCTGCGAGGTCAGGCCCCCTGGGATGATCACCATGTCAGTGTTCATGCGTTCCATGGAGCTCTTCACAGAATCAGTGGCATGGCCCCGGAAGCCGTTCAGGATCAGCATCCCCCGCTGCTTGGGCACTGCTCCTGTTCTCCGTTTCCAAACCACTTCCAACCAGTCCTGCATCAGGTCCTCAGTCATCCACCCGTAGCGGTGGCAGCGGATTTCCATCCCGCTGGGGAACTTGCCTGGGGGGATGTACGTTCCCCTCAAAATGATGTACGGAGGTAACTTCCTCCCGTCTGCCAAGACGCCAAGCATCGCCGTGATCTTCACTTTCTCCCTGCCTGGCGTCTTGACCAAGACAGGCTTTTCACCCTGGTTGTCAACAGTCACCCTGGATGGCACCTCTAAGCAGATTGGCGTCTCGTCTGCATTCCCCATCTGTGCCACCTGATAATCATGTGCCCTGCGCAGAGCCAGCACACTCTGCTGGTAAGTGACAAGCTTCTCAGTCAGGTCTTCCGGCAGGTGCGGGGGCACGGGCACTTTGTGCCTCAGAGACAGGTCATACCTTCTCATCATTCTTCGACACCAGCCCAGGCTTGCCTTGAACCCTTTTTCTGGAATGTTCATTTCCTGGGCGATTTCGAGGGCTTTCAGCTGCATTGCCTCCCTGGTGATAGGGTCCCCTTTGGCCTGCATATATCTCACATACTCAGCAACACGTTGGTCCACCAGAGCAAACCTGCCATTCTTGGGGCCTCGGAATGCCCGCCGCATGGCATGGGCATTTTGGAGCTGCGGCTTCACTTTGCGCCAGTCTCGAACGTTTTTTTCCAACACTCCAAACTGCTTGGCTGCCTGGCAGTTGTTGGTGCTCTCGGCATACTCCACCACCATCAACTTGAACCCTGCATCGTAACTACGACGCATGCCTCGGCTGAACTGAAACTTCCCAGCTATGTCATCCGCTGAGAGGTCATAGGCTGGGAAGCCCATAGCCATGTAGAAGGGGTACCCCTCACTCCACTCAGGCAGTAGTGTGATGTCCCGAGGCAGATGCAGGCCAAAGTTGTCCAGCTGCTGAGGCTGAGGGATCTGGGAGGAGGTAATCATCGGAGATGCCCAATCTGGAGACTTTATGTCAGAGTCTTCATTTTCTAAGAGACAAACAGGGAGGGGCAAAAGTAAGGCCAGTAAGTAAAAGGGTTTATTCCTGGATTTTTTGGGGTCAAGATGCTTTACCTAAGGCTCACCAAAAGTACAAACTTCAACAATAGGTAATACTGCCTAAGTTCTTATCCATGCGTCGATTTATACCTACTACCACATCTAATTCTCACAGCACCCTTTCTTTGCAGATGAGGAAGAGAAGCTACAGAGGCTATGAGGTGAGTCAAGGATGCCAAGCTAGGAAGTGTCAGAGAACTGAGTACAAGTGCAAGCTTGGACCAAATAATATGGGGGCCAAGTTTGGGTCAAAACAATGTTTATGTGGATGACGCATACAACAGAGATTTGGTTGTATCTTGGGGTTCAATCATAGCCCTTGAACCAAGAAAACCTAGAACAAAAACCACGTCAGCAAAGTTAAGCTTGTAAGGCACAAAGCTGGTTCCTGCACACCAGTGTGCATGCTTGTATTTGGAAGGTAGTCACAGAAATGGAATATGACTTGAGGAAACCACCTTATCTCACCAAAACTAAAATGCCATCAGTTATAAGATACACCATTTATGTGCTGTGAAAAGAAGAAACAAATGCCACTAACAATAACTATGACATGCTTACTTGTTTTTAAGAGGCATTCTCAATTTCAGAGTTGTTAAATTAGTAGGGAAAAACATGTTTTAGAATCAATGAAATAAGGCATTATATACTCTTATCTATTGAGAAAAGCATATAAAACTATTTTGGCTGTCTAGAAGTTATGCTACATTATTCCAACTGCTACTCTTCTAACCAATTTCCTTGGTAATAGTCTAGGTGATTCTTAGACATGTGTGCTCAAATGTGTACTATAGCTAATACTGCCTTTCCCATCCAGAGTGAAATGGACAGGAAGCCCAGGGGAAGTAACACTAGAAGTGTGCTCCTCTCACTATTCCTTAGTTTACAGAGGCACTTGTGCTGCCAATGTGACCACACTCACCCGGATGGACACTGGACCAAACGCCGTACAAATGTCTTTTTGCTTTGTCCACATACAAGGTCACACAACATGCCTTATTTAAAACCACAAGTAACCAATGAAGAAATGGAGGCCCAGAAAGGTGAAGGAAGTTGTCCAAGGTCATATGGTTAGCCCATAATCTTTGTCCCTCACTCCTAAATACCCTACAGAATGTACATGGAAACTGAAAATCAGCTTCAAGATGCTCCTCTCAGGAAGGATGCTGAATTGGGTTACTCATGGTACCTGTAACCGTTCCTCGCAGCTGCCACTCATCAGAATTATGAGACTCCTCCTCCCCTTCCAAACGAGTGATCATGTCTGGTTTAGGGAATGGGAATTCTGTTCATAGGAAATAAAACAGGTAACAGTATTCATTACTGTCCTGGAGCAACACCAGAATAAGTACTTTAAAATACTTAAGAAACACCTCCACTCTCCCACCCGCCCAATTGTGAAAGACATGGGGGAAAAGCTTAGTGATACTTAAAGAAAAATATGATGAAAAACAGGTCTGTCCAAGGGAATTTCTGGATGTCTGCTAATGAGGGCTGGTACTGGCAACAACAAGGAGTTGCATTTAGCAGAGAAGTTGGGGGATGCAGCCACTGGACATTTTGGTACCTGAATGAGCAAACTGGGAAATCCCTGCAAATGGCTATACTCTGAAAAGATTGATGCTGCACTCTTTGGGGGGACATGTCTTGTTTCTGAGGATGACAAGATAAATGATGAGGCCTTCCTACCTAAGGACCAACAACTTATAGGCCCAGATCCATGATGAAATTTCTAAAGATGTACCTGTTTTTTGCTAATGTAAATGCCTGGGTGATTGAGTATAGTTCTAAGAGGCAGCATGAATTGCTGAGTAGAAGGACATATATATCTTGCCCAAATCAAAAACAGAAAATTAAGTGGGCACAGGCATGGAGGGGAAAAAGAAAGATGTCAGATACACCAGAGAAGAGAAACATGGAAATTGTCTGGGCTCAGAGCTTCCAGGAAACAAAGGAAAACAAAGCTTTACCCAGGGACAGGACAGTTTCATAATTCATCCTCATGACTTCCCGGTAGAGGGCCTTTTGTTGCTCCGTCAAAACTTCCCACTCCTCATCGGAAAAATATATGGCCACCTCATCAAATAGGGCTGGTACCTGGAACATGAACAGTCCTTTCTCAACAACTAATATGTACATGCAGACAGATATTCAGACCCAATAGGACCTCATGGACAAGTGGGTGCAACCCTCCCTCTCACAGTTCAGAACAGTGCCCTGACCTGAGGGCACTGGGGACAAGATGAGGGCAAGAGCAAGGGCCCTTCTATGCCATCCCCTCAGTTCACAAATACAGTAAAGAAACTCCCTACCAGGCTGGAAGCTCCTGGGCACTGTTCCCTCAAGTGCTACATGAGAACTGCTCATAGCTCACCCCCAACTTGAGGGAGGTAGAAGCCAACTACATCCAGAGAAAATGTCTCCACCAATACGAATATCCAACCTGTGCCCTCCTATCTCTCAAGGACCATCAGCCCAGGGGAAAGAGCTGGGTTTGTAAATTCCAACAGGATTACTGCTTTCCATGGGATCTTTGTGGTTTTCTGGGACACTCCACATTTAAGGGCACTGGGTTAGTGCCCTTAAAACACTAAGATTCTCAAAGGGGAGCCAGCAAGACAAGGGCCCCTACTTGGCCCTTCCAATCCACAAGAACAGTAGGAGAGAAGGGCTAATTAGAGCTTAATTTATGCACTGAGATGCCAGAGTAAAGTCATTTGCTTTGATGCCTAGACCAGGTCTGCAGTGTCCATGTATAGAGAAGCCTGCTCCCTGCTCTGTACCTCCAATCCCACTCTTCTCTTTATAGCTACAAGCAGCCAAGCCACCCAAACCAACCCTCTTTGTTTTCTTAAACTGATTTGCTTTCTTTCTATTGTATATCTTCTCTTGTTCATTACACATCCTACTCCAAAGTAGGTAAGAAATCACTGGACAGCTTGTTTCAGACTGGTCACTTTGTATTCTTGCTGTCAAAGCTATTCCCCAAAGCTATAGCTTAGGCCTGGGTGATCTATTGGTTTTCCTCAGTATAGAAATCAGTGTCTATACAGCCTGCAGCCTCTTTAGGTGTCAGCCCGTCAATCACTTAGAAACTCTGGCCTTTCCTCCCTCACCTAAAGAGAACCACTTACTAACCCTCCCCTTCCCCCTCCCCATAACACCTTCTGTGTAGGGAGCACTTACTATGAAGGGCCCTGTAACTGCCTCAATAATTTCTAACAACCCTATGGAGGAACAGAGATACTTCAGTGTAAACAAAGAAGAAAAATGGCCTTGTAGAAGTCTCATTTCCAGACTGAAGTCATACGAATGGAAAGTTTGAGACATGGACCCAGCACTGTGTGACTCTAGCAACAGCGAACAAAACTGTCTCCTTGGATGACAAACTCTCAATTCTCCCCCACCTCTGTGCTGTAGCTGTCCTCAGCTTCTGGTCATTCCTCAACATCTCCACACTTCTATCCATACTTCCCCCTGGGCCTCCCCATTCTTAGCCTGGTGAACACTTCCCCATCTTCTAAGCACAACACAGACCACCCTGTTCCCCAGGAAGCCCACTCTGTCCTGGGCCGCAAGCATACCTGGTGATTGCTCTGTGCTCAACACTATGGTGGCACTGTCACAGTGTATATTCTTCTGCTTTACTTGTCTTTCCTCTCCACTGGAATGTTAGTTCACTGTGGACAAAGCCTGTGCCTACTCTGGTTTCCCTAAGTTGAGGATGCTTCCTATAGTCTTGTTAATTAAAATGTGTCTTTGAATGAAGGAGTGAGACAATCTCTGGATTTCCTTTCTCTTGTTGCACCTGGATCAGTTTCAAAGAATCATTAAGTTGTATTTGTCACAAAACCAAGTCAGCTCTCTGGAATAATAATGGACAAAAATCTGAAAGTGTGAAATACTAGGAGGTAAAAATGGATTGGTTTCTGTGCTCTCCTCAGACTTCTTCAATCTAGAAAGCCAAGCAACCCAGCAATTTTCTACCCTGCTCCCTTCCCACTTCCCAGGCTTTTAAACAATTCTCCCTTTGGCCTTTCCTCTCCCTAAGAAGTTCCAGATCTAGGCCATACCTATAAATAATCCCTTTCACTTTGCTGAGAAAACAGGACACAGGTTTGGATATTACAATCATGGAGAGGAGATGATACCTCCCAGGCTTAGAAAAACACCAGATATTAGGAGTACCAGAGTTGTGAGAAGACGACTAGGGCCTATTGTGCGATTCATTCCCTTCGATTAATGCCTAAGCCTCGGATCCTCAAACAAGCCCATATTATGCGCCAGCAGCACCGTGCAGGGGCTTAGAAATTCTCCTCATAGAAATCCTCTGTGAGAATGGAGTGAGCCTTAGCCAAGTCTGCTGTGGAGGCCTCCTTCAATCCACAGAGGCCTTTATGTGTCTAAACACAGCATAAGGTAAACAGGACTCGTCCTAGGCACAGCTGAGAAGTCAGGCAGTCTGTAATCAACCCCCAGACACCCTTTCTTGCTTTCACAGGTATGGAACCTCAGTCTCTGCTCTCTTCCCTTCCCTTAGAAGATCAAGGACTCCCCAAAGAGGCATTCTTCCTTTAGGGTGTGTACATTACCTTGTTCTCCGTGGGAAGCTAGCATTGCAATGCTTATCTTCAAGAGTAAAGGTATGTTTACACGCTGCACAGCCTCACTGAAGGGGAGCACTTGTCTGCTAGGTGCCAGGCACTATTCAGGGCACTTCTATTTACATAAATATATTATCTTTTTTGAATCCTTTAAGTAAGCTAGGTACATGGGGATCAGTAACCCATCTTTATGGGTAAGGAAACTGATTGAAGAAACTAGCCAAGGTCAGAGCCAGAGTCTAGTTCCCAAGCCTGTGCTTTCTTAACAGGCCACTCAGGCCTCAGCAAGGTACCTGTAGAACCCTAGAAAGAAGGGCTTAGGACTCCTTCCTCAGAGCTGCTAAGCAGAGCTCAGTCTCCACAGCGCAGCACACCATTCCTGGGCTGGTTCTGGCCCTCAGCATGGTTTACCTCCTTCCACTCCCTGCCTAGCGCTAACTGTACACAACTTCTCTCTCTGGTGCCTTTGATCATGCTGTCCTCTTGTTTGTAGTGAAAACCTCTTCCCATCCCTTGTCTGATTCTACTCATGACTCAGTAGCTCAAAGCACATGTTTTTTTCTACTTGAGTCTGTATTTCCATTTCAATTCTGTGGAAATTTTATCCTAATATAAAGCATGACTCTTCTGTTTGAATGGATTTATTGATCACCTTAATTCTCCACAACCAAAATATGCACTTAAAACACAGATTCACTTCTTTCTTTCCCCCCATTTAATGCTCTCAAGCAGTTTCGCAACCTTACACTATTGACATTTAAGGTCAGGTAATTCCTTGATGTGTGTGCAGGGAGCTTTCCTCTGTACACAGATGGGTAGGTAGATTTTTGGCCTAAATCCACTAAATGTCAAGTAGGATCTCCAACCCTCTCATCCGCACATGGAGTCATGATAACCCAAAGTGTCTCCAGATATTGCTAAATGTCCCAGGGTGGGGAGGGCAGAGAACAGACCACTGCTCAAGAATAGGCCTTCTCTAGGAAGCACACTCTCTAGCCTGAATGAGGCCTCCCTGCTCTTGGCTGCTAGAGTATCCTGAGTTGACCTCCCCACTATAGTCTGTATACTGTACCAATAATCATGCTGACTTTCCTGTCATGGACTAGGAGCTCCATGAAGATAGGGATTGTAACCCCCAGTTCTGTGCACAGTAACTGCAAATGGATGGCAGACTGCCCAGAGGTCACAAACGCCCAATCCCAGCTCCATCAAGCTGCCAGCCTCTCTATTCTGGCTCCTCTGGTTACCTCCTTCTTTCCTGGCCCAAGCATGGTCTTTACCTTGCTTTTTTCTCATTGTCCAGCATAGTCAGATGTCTACATTTACTGCTCTCATTTCCCATGCTTCTCTTTTTAGACATTCTGGGTTAGCCAAGTTAGCCTCAAAGTTCAGGGTTTCTACTGTTTTGAGGTCTTACTCCAGGCTAGACGGGACTGACTCCTGTCTAGGCCAGAACTGGGGAAGACAGGGAGTGCAAAACACACTGATAGGAAAAAGGCAGTGTAGCCAGACCAGTAAACCCAGAGCCTGGCACTGTGCTATTTGTTTGCTTTTATTGAGGTATAATGTACAAAAAGCAAAATGTACTACTTTTAAGGGTACATCCTGTTTTTAAAAACAACTATCAATGTACACATACATCCTGGGAGCAAAACAGATAAACTTTCTATACCATGTTCCCTCCTGAAGGAGCAGTTTGGACTAGATAATTTTGAAGTGCCACCGTACAATGAATAAGGGCCTCTCACTGGACACAAGATATGTTATATATTAATGATACTGATAATGTTTACATTTAACTAAACAGAGAAATGTTAATTTGTTGCTTATTTAAAATAGTTACAATTCATACCCAATTTCCATGAAAGCCAGTAACTGCTGTGAATAATTATATATAACCATAAATACCTGTTGCACTTATAACTGTGTAAGTTCACTTTACTTCTGTCACACTATTCTGTTTGGGTATACAAAGTCTGGTTATTTCTTGCTGCTGAACATTTCAATACAGACCAGGTGGACATGCAGCAATCCATGAATTATTATAAGCCAAACTTCCTCTCATGCAAACTCAACAACCCAAATCTTATTTAAAATGGTTCTCTTCAACCAACGGTAAATCAGCAAGTATTTATTTGGTAGCTACAATGTGTATGGCATCAAGCAGGGTGTAGGGGAAATGGGTCAATGAGAGACCAGATCACAGCTTCTGAGACTTCCAATCTAATGATAAGCCTCCTGACTGAAGGAACTGCTCCCATAACCACCTCCTCCATTCTTTGTGCTGCCTTTTAAAGCCACAGGGCTGTTTTCTCAGGAATGCAAACACACAGACTGGGCTATTTTTACTCCCCATGTCTGCCTCAGAAGACTTGTGGAAAGCCTGGCTCTCAGATATGGCCCTGCACCTTCTTACTCACCCATGTGCCCTCTGAGCAGATTCGTACTTTCTGCATGTCCCTGGGGCCATCCTCCAATTCTTGGCTCTGAATCTGTTCTTCTTCTTGTTCTTCTTTCAGGGTCAAGTTGAGAGGGTAGGCTGTAGGCTCCATCTCTGAAAACAAGATTTAGTTCAGAAAAATCAGGTGTCACTGTGAACTCTCCAACACCTGTGAGAGGGAGGTGCAGCCACACATAAACTTCTTCAGCCCCAAGCACTGCTCTGGTTGGAATGAAGGCAGGGAATAGCTGGGCCTGGGGAGGAAGGGATTCAGGGAAACCACCAGGAAGCTGGAAAATTCCATATTTCACGATAATAAGAGGAACAGTGGGTAGTTAACATATATAGCTGCCTTCAAGTATTTGAAAAGCTTTCTGTGGCAGAGGGACCAGATTGGTTTGTAGAAATAGACAGGCAGAAATGAGTCTGTACATAGGCATTCCGGGAATAGATTTTACACTGTCCATTGACAGGCATAAGTTCCCCACAGCGTTAGAGGAGGGGCGTTGATTTGCTATCAGTGAAAGCGTCTGAAGGCAGATAACAACACTTACTCAACTGGGTTGGTATTAGAAGCTCATTAAGTTTGGTGAATGGTTATCCCATCTCCTGGACTTTCCAAATTCAAAGGTGGTGTCCCTGAGCCCGTTCAAAAATAGTCATTTTGCCTTTCCAAAGCTAAGTCAGTGATACACGGTGAGGAGTATGCCTGGATACACGGGAAGATGCAAAACTCTGGTTGCCTCTGGGCGGCAAATTCTCCGTTCCCCTACTCCAAAGGCCAGTATAAGGGCCGCGATCCTGCTCTCTAGGGGCGCGGGCAATTGCTAGGTGTGGATGAGTGTGCATCTTGAGGGTCACGTCCTCTGGGACTTCTACAGAAAAGACCCTTCCGGAGTTCAAAGTCAGCTTCTTCAACATTTTCAAAAAAGATGGGCGAAATGAACGCAGCCGGCCTGGACCTGGGGCGCGCAAAATGGGCTTCAGACCCCTGAAGGTGGGGGCCCAACTTGGCTTCAGCCTCGGGACCCCACTCTGGGACAGCAGGTGGGAGGAGCCACTGCCCAGTGGCCAAAGGTGCCCTCAGCCACGGCCGCCGCTGCCCGCCCACCCGCTGCCCCGCCCGCCTCCACCGCCACTGCCGCGCCCCCGAGCGCGCTCGGATTTCTCCAGCCATCTTGTCCCATTTCCCTTTCTCCGCGGCCCGAGCCGGCAGCGCAGCGCTCCCGCCGCTCCCTCCGCCCGGCCCGCCTCCCCGCGCCGGCCCCTCCCGTCCCCAGCGCACCTGCCGGGTGGCGAGAGCCAGCGCCGCCTGCCTCCCGCGGCGGGCCCGCAACAAAGGCGGCGGCTGCAGCTGCAGCCTCGGATCCCCCGCCCCCGCCGCGGCCCAGCCGCCCGGCCCGTCCCCCCGCCCCGCCGCCCGCGCGCACTCACCGAGCGGCAGGGGCGCGGGCCGGGGGCCGCGGGTGGGGACGAGGACTGCGGCCGGGCTGTCACGGCGCCATCCTTTCCGCCTCTCCGGCTTCCCGTGCGCGCGGCCCCTCGGGAGGGAGCGAGGAGGACACGTGGTGGGAGGAGGGAGGGTCCGGCCGGGAGCTGAGGGTGTTGGGAGGCGAGGGGAGGAGCGCGGCTGATGTCAGCAGGCCTCGGCGGCGCCGGGGGACGCGCCACCTCCCGGACCCTCCTCCCCGCGCGGCTTCCGGCCGGCCGCGCGTCGCCCGGGATGTCCCCCGGGCTGGTCTGGGTCGCCTTGTCCCGCTCGGTGCTGTCTCCGAGTGAGTCTTGTGTGTGACCTCGGCGTGGATGAGCCAGGAAGAGCCCGGATTTATTTTGCAGCCGAGTGTAACGTGGGAGCGCGCGTCCATGTGCTCATTTGCATTAACCCGTGGATTGCACTTGCTCGGAGGAGCTAGCTGCACTCTCGCCATGCTTCAAGGAATTTGCTCCAAAGACTTACACCAGCAAAGAGGCGGGGGCGGGGGTGTGGGGTGTTCCCGGGGGGAGGGGAGAGTTGTGTCCAAGGTGTTTAGAGGGAAGAATGTTCCTATTCTAGCAGGTTTACGCCTGGAACCTCGTTCCCAATATGCACGAGGAGGGAAGTTGATTTTTGTAGGCTTTGCCATTTAAACTCAACCATACCACGGGCGAAGTAATTGTATCGAAGGACCTTCTCTGAATGTTCAAAGGAGTTGGTCTTTGCAGCATTTGCGGACGATATAACAAAAGGGATCAAAACCAAACAAACGAACAAAAAACCCCTCAAAACCCTGAAGCCTGCCTTACTCCAGAAAAAGATTCAGGGTTTGGGTTTTTGTTGGGAGCTCGTTGAGGGAAAAATTACTTTTAAGACTCAATAAAACACTAAGTATGACATTCAGAGGAGAGGGGTGGGGGTTCAACATTGAATTCAGTATAGAAAGGCTGGGAGTTCACAGCCAATGAGCAGAATAAGGGGTGTGAGCATGGGGGTGGAAAATTACTAAGGAGACATCAGATGTGGGGGTTCTTGCTAAACCAACTGAACAGGATTCTTGCTGAAGGCAGGCGGGGGTGATCCGATATCAAGGGTGGGGGATCCTTTAAACTGGCTTAGCAAGATTCTCTCTAAAATCTGACTGGGCAAGTAGAATGTGGGAGAGGGCACCAAGGTGGAGGCCTAGCCCTGAAGAAGGTTCAAGAGCCTGATTAAGGCTTGGTCAAGGAGTGAGTCTTTGACTTTTCAGATTGTCCCTGAGTGAATACCTGCTGAGAAAGATCTTTCTCCTAAGTTTTTGTGGCCATTCCTAGTGATTTATGTGGGATTTTACTTCTCTTTGCCTTTGGAGAAGCCACTGTGGGTTTGTGCTCTTAGTACATAAAATATAGAATGACAAACACATCTTTGAAGTGTCATCATGGTTGACAGCAAAACCAGAAAAAGTCTAACCAGTGGATGGCGATTATTCAAATATTGGGGTCTGAAGTTAGAATTTTTTGTTTGCTTAAATGACAGTTCCTTTAGTATGTGAAGTTCGTGTTGTTAGAGCAGGAGTGGCAGTTTAAATTGATTGATATTTCCAACTTAACTTTTCTGAAATTGAAAAGTGTGAAGGGAGAAGAGCTCCAGGCATTGTTGGCACCTCAGCTTCTTACAAAATTAATATGGGTTATGATCTAATCAAAAGCAATATTATGTTAGGGTTTTAGTTTTTGAGAGCCCAGATGTTCTTATACAGGTTGATTATGTGTACTAGTGACCCACTTGAAGTTTTGATTTTGAAGCCATAGTCCCACCCCATGATCTCAGTGACTGGGTCAAGAGACCCATCTTTTACAGGACCATAATTGCTAACAAGATTTACTCTAGGGCACTGCAGGCATATTCAAGTGGTTTTGTAAGTCATGTCACTGCTCTCTGCTTGGATTTCCTCATGTGCTAAAAGAGAGAGTTGAACCAGATGTTGTCCAAACTTTCCTTGACTCTTATACTCAGTGATTCCATTCTCCATAAGACTTCATTTTTTTATCTGAATGAGGAGTGGCTGAAACAAGCCTTTGAGACAGGGCATGACTTTGGTAATTTAATAGAATGGATTTCTGTTCATAGGTCATTAGTAAATATGAGTAGAACAAATGTACAGTCAATATCATGATCCGTTAATGATGCTGCTAGATTGGTGTCATCCTTACTCATAAGGAATTATTGTAGTACACAATCCATAGGGATTCCAAAGAGCTTCAAATCCCATAAAATACACAGTTTTATCTCTAGTGTCCCCTGGTGAATACACATTTCTGACCTTTGGTAGAGACTCCATAGCCCTCAAGTCAGCATAGCTTCAGTCCATGTTCTTCCATTTCTACAGGGCTTTGGTAGATTGACTTGGTAGTTTCAATCCTTTGTGTCCCTGTGGTAGCATACATTATGCCCTTGTTGAGGTGCATTGTGCAGAATGTCTTCAATGTCCTATCATTTGGTCTGGTCATGTGATGCACTTTGGCCAATGCAATGTGGGTGGAAGTGACCATGCCTGAGTCCTTAGAAATCCTAAGATGTCTCATTTCTACTTGGACTTCTGGGAGCTTTTGACCTCTGCCATGACAAAAATATTAAAGGGCAGCTACTGCCCTTAAATCCTAGGTATCAGAAGAATAAGACATGTACGGAGCTTTCCTTGCCAACATGAAGGCCAGGAGCCATATGAAGAGGTCATTGTAGTCTGAATCAACTGAGTGCTGGCCTGTCTTGTTGTACACTTTATTTATGGCTGCAGCTAATTGAGATAGTGACAAAAGCCAGCCTTGGACTTAGTGTTTTTCACATTGACCCTAGAGAATTCCCATTTCATGGTAGTTATCTTCAGGTATGTGGACAAAGAAATCCTGGGATGGGAAGAAAAGGAGAGGACCAAATAGGAGAGGGAGTGTCACTGCTGAATGTTTTTGCTGGGATTCTGGAAGTTCAGAGGGAGAGTAAAGTACCACTCCCACCTTGGAAATTACTCAACAAAGCTGCAAGTTCTTCCTGGGACACATTGGTAAAGTGTAATGAAAGCTCAGTTCCTGGGATGGCTTAGAAGTTCCTGGAGAGAAGGCTTGTAGTTAGAGATCTTAGAGGGTTAAGGAACACTTAGGTTTTTTTAAGAGGAAAAAGAATTGTAATACTTAGTGTAGTACTGGCTGTTGTAACAAACAGACCCCCAAAAGCATAATGCTCAATCACAATAGGATTTATTTTCTATTTATGTAATAGGCCATTGTGAGTGTTCCCAGACCACTGGTTAATTCTCCTCCTTGCTGCAATTCAGCGAGTTAGGGTCTTTCCATCTGTGGCTCTAGCACAACCTAGAACATTGTAGTTTTCTTCATCTACCAGAGAAAAAGGGAAAAGTGAGAATGAATGAGGCACACCCCTTTCTTGGCTTTAAAGAGACACATTCCATTTGCTAGAATCAATTATATGGCCATACCTATATGGGAAGGGGTGAAAATGCATTGTGTGCTAGAGAGTTGCTTTCCGGTTACAGCTCCCGACACTAAGAGGGGTCCTAGAGTTTTTGTCTCTGCTAAAAGAATGTTTTTTCTTTTAGCAATTTAAACATTCCACTCCACTGTCTTCTTGCTTGTGAGATTTCTGGAATGATGTCCAATGTTTTTCTTATTCTTGTTTCTTTATAGGTAAGGTGTTTCACCCCTCTCTGTCCCCTTTTAAGATTTTTGCCTTGTCTTTTGATTTTCTGTAGTTCAGATATTGTATTAATCAGGGTTCTTCATAGAAACCAGACCAATAGAAGTCATATGGAAGCAAGATGGTGACTGAGTGACAACACCACCTGGGCTCGCATTCCCTACTGAATGATAATTCTTGCACCTAACTCACTGCAGAGCTGTGTAGGATCAACATCCTAGGAGCTTAAGGTAATCAAGGCAGCAAGGACACACAGACCACAGTCCCAGAACTCCCATCCTGGCACCTGGAGCTTTTGGGCCTGAAGCTCATGGAGCAAAGCCCCTCCCTGCACCCAGAAGTTCCTACCTGGAGCAAAAGGGCCCATGCCCACAGTACTACTGAGGCTTGGAGCCCCCCTGGCAGCCATCCCCCACTGCGCCCAAAAGTTCTTACCCAGAGCAGAAAGGCCCACACCTGGCATGTTCTGCCCATAGTAACACTGAGGCCTGGTGTGTTCAGCCCATGGTATACCCAGAAGCTCTATTCCTTCGCACAAAAACCCATTCTGGTTGCGTTCTGCTCATGGCTCCACTGAAACCCTGCCCACTATGCATAGGATCTCCTGCACCCAGAAATTTCAGAACCATGCACTCTACAAGGACCCCACTAAGGGCCCAGAAGTTCCCATGTGGCACTTCCACATGGTGTGTCTGGGGCGTGGATTGCAAAGAAGCAGAGTAACCAGTGAGAACAGTCAGCAGAACCATCTCCCCAGTGACAAAAATTAGAGCTCTTAGACCAGCAGGGCACTGCTGCCAACTACAAGCCCCATCTGAGAAAGTGCAGTAGAGTGCATCCTTGTTCAGATCTGCTTCCTTGTGGTTCCCATCACACTGCATTGGTGTGCTACCAGAATAGAAACCTAACAAAAGACTGCCAAGTTTAGAACAATAGCCTGTAAGTAGTCAGGGGCTTGGGAAAGGGGAATGCTACAAGTGAAGGGGCACAGTGTGAGACTGGCAAATTGAGGACCCACATTTCAGAACCTTTCACCAGAAATAATATTCAAATATCCAAATCCTCCCTCCCCTATTCTGGAAAAGGAACAGAAGACAATAAACTGACACCATTCCAGGGTCAGGTTATCTGAATAGACTACCACTTAATGAACTGAAAGTCTCAGACATTGAGGGAGGGAAAAACATTCAGAAGAACATAGAAAACTCTGAAAT